CCCGTCCGGTCCAACGTCCAACTAAACATCCGGCCCGACATCCCGGACGATCAGGGGGGTCCTGGATGTCCGATCAGGTAACCTAAGTTTTGCACAAATAAATATAACCAGCACAGAGTCATTCCATATCGACGGACCTGTTGAATATAATAAATTTGATTGCGAACTATTTACATTACTAATGATACAAAAATTATAATTTTTAAATCCACAACAACTTACTAATGAATTCACTGAAAAAAATATGTTATATTACAGATTTTACCTTCACAATGAACTACAACAAACCAACTACAAGAAATATATCAATATCCATATAAACAATATATAATAAAAATATATTTGTAAATTATTTATTATATTTAAAAAAAAAAAAAACACTTATAATAATATAAAAACGTTTTACTAATATAGATTTACAAAACTCATTCAAAATTAAAAAAAAACAACAACATAATAAATAAATAATAATAATACAAACAACGGTTTAAAAAATATTGCGACTCTTCATTCGACTTTATACTTATACTTGTTACAAATTTTTACTTCAGTAAGTTTCCTAACCACCAATGAAAAATATGTCTCTATACTTTACGATATTATTCCATAAATATTTATAACAAACATTTATGCATGAGACAAAATATCAGTAAGAAATACCACAACAAATTATATTATATTTTTCCTCATAAAAATACGAATAAAACTAACATATTTTATTTTTGTCTTTTATTTGTTTCATTTATACAATATCATGAAAAAATTTAAAAACTTTATCGAAAAGAAACACAACCAATTAAACAATACTAATATATTTTTCATTATTTATTTCACAAAATATATTTTATATAACTAAAATAATAAAAATACAAACAATAATAAAGCTACAAAACCTTGAAAAAAAAAAACTAAATAAAAAACTATATTTATAATTAAATAGAGAAAGAACAAATATAAATTAAAATTTTGATAATTTAGTTTTCACATTCACCAAATGCATTTTTTTTTTACAGTTCTTATATTGAAACACTTAATAAAAATACGACTAAATCGACAAAAATATACAACAAGTTCAATATATTTCACAAATATTTTTTTTTACAGTTGATGGTTTCATAGAATGAATAACAAAAATATATGCGATGGCTCAAAGACCGATGCATCTATTGGACAAGAGAACATTGTTGCGTTTACAGAAAAACGGATAACGACACAATGAGATACTATTTTAAATATTTATTTAGCAAACAAATATTTATTTAACACATCAACACTAAACAACATAGTAAATGTATTAGCAAAAAATACTGAGAATGCAAAACAAATAATATTCAAATACCTTAGAAAAGCAAAAGTCTGACACCTTAAACCACTAGTACCTTTGACGCGTGGGAAAATAGCGGGTCTCCGATGGGTCTCTGACCTTTTCGGAGGCCGAAACGAAACGATGGCCGCCGATCAGATTTATCAATGACAGTCGTCGTCGAACCCGACCTTCAAATTTTTAGGAGTTTAGAAAAACTATCACTTTTCTCTATTTTCCCACACGCCAAAGGTACTAGTGGTTTAAAGAAAACTATAAACTGCCACAAATTAAAACCTACTTGCATTTAAATATATATATATATATATATATATATATATATATATATATAATAATTACAATGATTTTTTTAACAACGAAATGTTAACATTCAACATAAAATACAACAACCTAACACCATCAATAAAATATAAAGTAACATATCACATCCTGTGTATAATACATTTTTACAAGAAACACCACAACCACCATCGATACCACCACCGCCAGTACAATCCACAACAACAACAACAAAAAAACAAGAAAAAAAAACCTTAATCATTACAAAAAATATTTGACACAAAGAGAAAAAACAGAAAGATTAATAAAAACTAAAATAAAAAATTATAGAGAGAGAGAGACTGATACAAAAAAAGATAGTGAGATTAAAAAAAAAAAAAATCATATAAAAAAAACATATGACAAAAAAAAAAGAGAAAAAAAAAAGTAAGAAAGACGGAAAAAATCGAAAAAAAAAACAAAAAAAAAAAAACTAAGAAAAAAAAAGTTAAAAACACGAGGGAAAAAAAAAAAAAAAAAAAGTAATCAAATATAAAATACTCTTTATTATCGACAATTCGTATCTAACAAAGCACATGTCAAAATCAGACACCCTTAAGAAGTTTTAAATACACAATCCTCTAATGTTCCGTACACAGTCAAACAACAATGAAGGCAATCATGCTTCTAATATTTTTTATCATATCAACAATGAAGACAATTGATTTTGCGACGACAATACTACGATGATTATTAGACAAACAACAACTGCTAATACAATTAATAAAACAGTCCAACCTACAAGTACAAAACAACTCAAATAAGTTAGAAGTTGCTTAAAAAAATCAAGGGTGTCACCTATATTAATAAAACCAGCAAATAATTTCAAAATGACTGCAAAGAGAAAAATGCGACAGAAGCAAAGATAGTACCGACAACAACTACAGCAATACAAATCAAATCAACTGCAAGTTATTGAAAAAGAAACAAGGGTGTCACGTACATCAATGAAACCATGAAATAATTTGAAAGTCACTACAAAAATAAATACAACTATCGAGAAAGACAAAAACTATTACTGACAAGTTTGTCATGTATTTTTACAACATGAAATGAAAAAAAAAAACTTTAATCCTAATACTGATTTTATGCATAAGGAGATATTTGCAATTCAAAAAATGTTCATAGTTAATGGATATAAGTAACCTCGTTGCTCGACTCTGCGCATAAAACATACTTCAAATGTCATACTCAAACTCCGATTTTTTCTCCTATACCCAACTTTGCACGCGATTGCGGACAAATTTTTATAGATATAGCCATAATTACAGTAACATACATTTAGGAAAGTGCTACTGTTTTCACCTTGCTTGTTACCATCAACATAGCTGCTTGACTCAACATAAAGGGATGCCTGCAAATGTCATACCAGTAGTAAAGTGCACATAAACACAACGATGTCAACCTCTATCAACAATTAGTTTATGACGCTGACCCTTTGTTTTCTCCTTTCGCATGACAATTCTTTATGACTATATATAACTATATATTTGTCATATGTTCTGACTCTCTCCTTTATGCATTAATAAACCGTGTAATGTACGTGTATCGTGTCTTCGGTAACATGCCATAAATATTTAAAGTCACTCACACACAAAAAAATATACACACATATGATGAGACAAACTAAAGCATGATCCTCCTCCTCCTCCTCATTATAAAAAACACCCACATAACGTACAATAAAATGAACATAAACAACAAAATTGGCACACACACACACATTCACATTAATAGATGTTAACTGCAAAATAAATCATGACGACAATTTCATTCCCCCC